TTTTTTTCTTGTGCTTGACTAAGTCTTCTGTTGAGCCATTCTAATAGATCATTTAGTTCAGCCACTGTAGTCTTCAGGTCCACAATTTCTGTTTGGCTGTTTTGTATTTTCTTTCTTATTAATAAAATTCTCATTTTTTTCAAATATTATTTTCTTATGCTCATTGAGCTTCTTTATGACAGTTATTTTAAATTCTTTGACAGGTTATTTATATACCTCTGTTTCTTTAGCATCAGTTTCTTGAGATTTATTTAGGTCTTTCAATTGTGTCATGGCTTTCTGTTTCTTCATTTTCCTTGTTATTCTGATATCCACATATTTGAAAAAAAACAGCCACTTTTCCCAGTCTTTATGAACTGGCTTTGTACAAAGGTAGACTTTCATGAATCAGCCTCTTTAGAGATTTTGGGGGACTATCAAACATTGTCTAGGAAGTAACTTTTTTTGACTTGTGTGCATAAATTTCTAATTAAGGGGCTGACTGGTTAGCTCACTTGGTTAGAGTGTGGTAGTGATGACACCAGAGTCACAGGTTTGTATCCTTGTACTGTCCAGCCGTGAAAAAATAAAAATTAAAAAAAATTTCCAGTTAAAGAAATTTGCAGGTTTCTTTTCTTACGAGCTCATATCTCTTGCTTTCTTTGTTATCTATCTGTTTTCACTGGTTCTCTGGAGCAGTGGTGTGCCAACCCGTACTTTTGTTCTCAGTGACTCCTAGGCATCAAGAGTATGCTGAATCCCATCTATGCCCCAGGTAGGGAAAGTAGGGAACCATTCATTTGGGTGGACACCTGAACAGCCAGAACATTGGATGCATGCTCTGCTCTTGTCTTTCTTCACTGAAGGAGAGTCTGCTGAGCTGAGTCAGCTTCTTTCTACTGTGTCACAGGTTCTCTGGAGCAACAGCCCCCTAACTCTGTTTTTTTCTTCGAGATGAATTTTTTTATTTTGCTTATTTAGTTAGTTTTATTTTTTTAATTAAGAAATAATATATATATATATGCATATATATATATGTACAATGTAATGTTTTAATTCATGTTTAGATTGTAAAATGATCAAATCAGGATAATCAGCATGTCCATAAACTCAAATAATTATCATTTCTTTGTGTTAAGAATATTTAAAATCCTCTCTTTAGCCATTGTGAAACCTTAAGTGGAATGTATAACCTTAAAAAATAAGCGTAGGATTGTTTGTTTATATTTGCTGAAGAAGGTAAGAGTAGGTGTATATATTATAAAATTCTTACATAGTTTTTGCATGTGAAAATGTCACCAATAATGATAATGTACATCAAATAAATAATGATCATTTTGCTTAAATGTCTAA